GCTGACACTTTCCCAAGAGCCTTGGCACCTCAATGAATTGGAAAATTTTACTCCTGGCCTCCAATACTAATGCTTACATGGGAAATGTCTTTAATGGGCACATCTACACGAGGCGCTTTACTGAACCTTAGCCTAATTTACTGTGCAGTATAGGCATGCATCTACATGTGTGCACCCTTACTGCACAGTAAAAATGGCTAATTGTGTCTCAATTTGATACCTGCAAATGCTGCCCGAGGGGGCTGTCCTGAGTCTGGCACCACAGGGCTCCTGGCTGGGAACTTTTCCTGCTCTGGGGCTGGGTTGCTCTCTGGCAGCCCAAGAGAGCCTGTTGTCTGACCAGGAACACTGCAGGCCCTATATGCCCCCTGGACAGGACCCTGCCAGTCCTGTCCCATAGCCAGAGCTGCTGCTTGGCCACAGGCGGATGCTGTAAAGGCCTGCAGTTTGCTGCACCCATTGCCCAGCCCTGAGATCTCCCCAGGACTGCTGGCTGACTGTTTCTAGCAGTACGGCCAGCCCCTGCTCCCTGTTGCTGCTCATCCCAGTTGTTTGCTGGTACTGTGGCACATTTGCCTCTGCTGCACAGATTCCAGTTCCTGGCCATGCTTGTCTGCTGAGTGCTCCTGAGCACTGTTTAGGGCCAGTCACACGAGGACAGCTGTGCGGGGCCCAGAGAGCCGGCACAGGACACAATGTCCTCATCTTCCCCATTGAGGCCCAGTCCCCCTGCATGTGCAAGCCTGTGCCATCCATCTTGCTGCCTAACTGGACCCAGGAGGATATTGGTGACCTTGTGGCACTCTGGGATGATGCGGAGGTGCTGAGGCAGTTTGCGCAGGCTGGGCACTCGAATTTCCACATTTATGAGGACCTGTTGGCTGGCATATGAGAGCGAGGGCACTCCCAGTCACCACTGCAGTGCCACATAAAGGCCAAGGACTTGTGGGCACAGTGGGTGGCTGTGACGGACTGCAGTTTTTGGTCCAGTCATGCCCACGAGACCATGCCCTTCATGTGGCAGCTGACCCAGATTTTAGTGCCCCAAGATGAAGGCCATACCCCTGCAGTGGTCACTAACAGGGGTGGCCTGCCCAAGCCCCTGCGCTGCCCTGACTCCTCTGGTGACACATCACTGACGGAGGGGTCCTTGGATGTTCAGTGCCCTTCCCTGCCCACCTCCCTGGCTGCTGCACCCACCAGCAGATTGGGGAGCCCAGGTCAGTGGCTGCCTCAACAGCTCCACAGTGCTGACCCTGCCATGAGGAGTCACTGGCCATGCCACCACAGCACCAGCTCCTCCCTGCGGGGGGGCCGCCAGGCACTGGCCTGCTGTCCGTTGCAGGCCAAGGACACTGGGTGCAGCTCATCACTGTCATAGCTCAGGGTCCTAAACAAAGAGTACCAGGAGGATCAGCAGGGCGTAGTGGCTTGGGCACCCCTCAGACTGCACAAACAGCTTATCGTGCACCACCCGGGACGCATGCAGCAGGGGCACACTCAGGGCACAGCAGGAGCACTGGGGAGCCAGCCCCAGGGTGCCTCCCTGAGATGGCCCACAGTGGGGAGTGTGGGGGCACAGCCAGTCCCTCGCCCCAGTTGTCCAGGAGCCCTGTGTGCCCAGAGCATGGGTGCAGTGGGCTGGGTGGCAATGCAGCAGAGCAGTTGGCCTGCAGGGAGAGAAGAGGGGCAGCAGGGTCTGGAGCCATGGCAGCAGCTGCTGCCAGAAGCCTGGCCTGACCCACTCACCCTAGTCTGCTGGCCCCAAGGGAGCAAGGAGGGACAGGGGACTCAGCCAGCAGCTGCCTGGGTGCAGGCCTGGCTGGCAAGACCTACCATGATCCCTGGGCACCCACGCACAGCCAACCCCTGATCTGAGGCTGGGCACCACACAGCCCCTGGTGCAGATCTTATCTCTGAAATGTTGCAAACTCACAAAAGGCTTCTGTCTCTTTCCTCTGCAGAACCATCATCTGGATGCAGGAGAGAGCCCACCAGCCTCAGTGGGGTGTAGCCTGCATCTCACCACAATCCAGCACTGGAGCCCCCCACCCCGGGTCCCCTGCCACCCACCTGGGCCCATCCCTGCTGCTCATCCTGCGGCCACATGCCTGAAGACCTGGTGGTGCCAGGCACAGTACCACAGGGGGATGATAGTGCTGCACTTGGGGAGCCAGAGGGGAAGCTGCCTGCTCCGGAGCAGCACTGGCCACCATTGCCCAGGGATGAGCCTGCCGCCTACTAGGGTCCCTGTGGCCCTCAGACCCACAGGCGAATGGCCCACGCCTGGGGTGCAGGCTGCTTGTCCCCAGGCTGTGCCTCCTAAGTGCCATCACCCCATGGCCCCCCACTTCGGGACTCAGATACTGAGACTATTGTGTATAGTTTTCACTTTGTGAAGAGGGTTCTTTTGGTGGGTGGGGAGGGTGCTGGAGGGACTCTCTTTGTTGGGGTGCCCTGGCAGGTATGTGGTGCACCTTGGGCCATGCCGGGGTGGTAGGGACCTGCCACTGGTGCTGGCACTGCAGGTCATGCCCCTGTTGCTAGGCTGCCTCAGCATGGCATGCCTTGTCTGCCCAGCCTCCCTGAACATCTCTCCCTAGGTGTCACAAATATTGTGCAGCACGCACCCTGTGATGATGACCCAGAGGAGGTTTCTCTCAGTCACCTTGAGGCGGGCCTTGAGGGACCACCAGTGAAGGTGCACTCAACCTGCCAAAAAATCGGTTAATGTGAATTAAGCTAATTCACAGTAAATTTAGTTGCAACTATTTGCACATGTAGACACACCCAATGAGAAGCAAATGTAAACTAGTACAGTGGTATCTGTCTAGTCTGCAGCCCCTGGCACGATTGTTCGGAAAAGTGAAACTTTCCCAGTTCAGTTCTGTTAAATGCTGAAGCCAAATCATTTGTACTGCAGAAATAGCAACACTTGGCATCTCTTTACTGGGGGGACACTGCTTTCCTTTGCCTCCTCCACAACTGGCCGGCTCAGCTGTTTGGTGTATGTTCAGTGGAGTTGTGGGAACAAAGCCACAGCTTCATCTTCTGACCTTCTCTCCCTGTCCTGGCGTTGGTGAGCCATTGGGGTGGGGAGAAAAGGGCAAGATAGAAGGAGAGGTAGCTTTCACTTTGCCCTGCCTATATGGCATGTGTACCACATGAATTTTTACTGGCCTCTTTTTGCCCCCATTCCCTGGCTGAGTAAATATGAAAGGAAAGGGAGACTGTGGCAGGAGTGAGATCTCATATTGACTTCAGGAGTACCCCTGAACAGGCTTAAGCTGTGCTAATCATTTGAATGGGGGTGGGGGATAGCAATCACTGGAAAATAAAAACAAAAAATAGAAACATCGGTTCAGACTGAATCAGCCAAAAATAACTGTTTTGTTTTTGGTCATCCCCTGTCAAAATGTGCCAAAACATCCCTTCTACCCCAAATGAAAAGTTGATTTTTCTGACACTTAAGAAAAAAAGCAAAGGCATGAAGACAGTAAAGTTTCTGAATGGGGAGACATTCCTGGATTAGAGCATGCATCAAAGATGTGGGAGGCTGACATTTATTTCCCTTCTCTGCACGGGGGATTTAAGTCCTCTTCTCCCAGGAGAATGTCTTAACCAACCTATTATAACTTTTTTGGGTGGCAGTGGGGAGATCTCTATTTCTCCCATCGAGGCAGCTTCCACTTTGCATAAATGATTAAGCATTCACTGGAGCAAGGTCTGAAACCCAGGTGTCTCTCACCTCCTGGGTGAGCCTCTAACCACTAGTTTGAGAAGCATTCATGCATGCACTCTCTTGCTCTCTGACTGAACAAATATTTAAATGTTTTATACAAACTGAAACAACCACAAACAGAAGTACTGTGGGAGCCCCAGAACGTCCTACAATCTTCTGGTCAGGGCTGTTTTCAGGGAGGTGGAAGGTGTAGCCTCAAGGCCCGTCAGTCCTCCCATCCATCCATGGTGGGTGCTTTGTCGGGCTTATGCAGGGGAGGGAGGGACTTTCTCTGGCTTTTAAATTCCCTTCATCCCTCATGTTTAGGTGAATTTAAAAATACAGTATTTCCCATGTGGCCAGAACTGTGGTTTTTGGAGATTTGACTGGGAAAAAAAGTGTTCAGCTTTACTGCTGATTATAACAACCAGGTATTCTTGTCTTGCTCCAGAGATGTACAAGCAGCAAGGGCACACCAGCATTTTATGCACTAGGATAAAGTAGAGCTGTTTAATGAATGTTGGAGGAACCATGATGTCAGCTTCCTTACAAGAATGTTTAAGGAGTTGGCTGGTTACCTGGGAAGAAACAGGTCATTTGGGCATGGGCATATAAAGTGCTGAGCACCTTACTCAGCTTTGGATCCTGATCCTTAAAAAAGCACTTACGCACTTGCTTGCTTTTTAAGCATGTCAGTTGTCCCATTTAAAGTCAGTTTGTACCCCAAATGTCTAAAGTTTGAGCTTGTATTTATGTGCGACGCTGGATTAGGGCAATCATGTTCAACAACCTTTTAGGATCAAATCCTTTCTAAAGAAGGCAAGATGGGGGTGATTTCTTGTTTTGGGGAGCAGGCAAGAGGAAATCAGCCTGGTTTGCAGATCATGAATTCTTTATCTGATTTAAAATCAATAGGAAACTCTATAGCTCTGTGTGTGTGTGTGTGTGTGTGGTGTGTGTGTGTGTGTGTGTGTGTGTGTAAACACATGTTCTAAAAATATTCAAAACAGCCAGCCCTGCTTCCAGTAAGGTTGTGGGGAAGGGGGGCAGAGGGAGGGAAATTCTATTTAAAAGGAATGGAGAACAGAGTGATCAGAGAAAGTGTCCTTCCTTAGGACATGTGTAACGTCTTACTATGGGATCTCTAAAAAAAAAAAAAGTGCTGATCTGTAAAGTGTTTAAGCGGCACAATGTGCCTTTGATGCTTCTGCAGCTGAAGAACCGTTGCCAATTTGATCAGCATTAACTACAGTTGCAGAGGTCTGGCACGTCCTAGAGCTATTGCCTTCTCTTACCTCACTAGTAGTGGTCCCTATTTATTCTCCCCTCAACCTTATTTCCTCCTGTCTTGCATGTCTTTTCCCTCCTGCTCTCTGGTGTATTTCCCCTCTTGTGACTGCTGCAAGCTCCTCCTGCAATCTACAAAAGGGAACTTCCCTGCATTAGAGGCTTGGATCTCCTCTCTGATCCCAGGTCCCTTTGCCTCAAACCCCAGCCTCACAGAAACACCCCCTCCCACCTCCCACCCCAAACTGCATAGCAGCTCAGTGCCACATTCGATACTCCTGAGCTGCGGCTTCAGGCTGTTGCTGTCTAGTCCAGGCTACTGTATATCAGTCTGGTTTGCTGCTTTCTTCCCCACTCGGCAAGGTAAGTGGTTTCTTTTGTTTAACTCCCTAAGATTTTTTGAGTAGTAACTGCATCATCCCTTCACGGATCTGCTTTCAGCATGATCTGAAGCGTGCTGGCGTGGAGCAGGCAGTCTCGCTGCTGGCTAGTGCTTTGAACGATTACATTTTTCAGGCAATAACTTAGTCCCGTTCTGCAGTAGGACAAACCTTTTGAGCCTGGAGGTTACAATTCAAGCATGCTAAAGGAGCAGTGCCGGAGGGTTAGAAGCAAAGGTTTTGGTCTTCTCCCTTCTGAACTTTGTGACTGGACGTTTGGGAAGGGGGCTCAGAGCAGTTGAGGACCAGACCTAGGGGTCCATATAATCTGCTACGACAGCTGTGAGAGTTGCCAGGATCAGGGATGTATACTGACGCCCTAATAATTAGGTAATAAGGTGCACATAGGGGAATTTCTCCCTAACCCCATGCTGTCAGTGGTTGTCTGGTGGCCTGCCAAATGAGAATTTATAACCTTTTAGAAACGAGTATTGTAGCTATTATAAATGCTGATGGGATTAGGCATATAAATGTCTAAACCGTTTCTTAATCTTCCTGAGGTCTTGCCCAGTGAGTTAAAGCCCATGAAGTGATGGTCAAGGAGTTATCTGGGATTATCTCCTGTTTTAAGCAGTTTCTAATAAACTAATAAATGGACACAGATAAAACACCAAGGTCTTCCAGTGTCTGGATATAAAAACAGACAGGATTTCTCATGTCTATAAACATGCTGGCTAAATAGTAGTTTCTAATTGCAAGGTATAGGTTCTCCCGGTCATTTCAGCTGTTCCTGTTCTGTTAATGGGTGAGCGAATGACTTGATCACAAAGGTAATTAATAAAGTATCAAAATAACTTAAGCTCTAGGGACAGACCAGTTACTGCTTCTCTTAATGGAACAATGTTCTGCCCTTTTTGATGTTTAACTTCACAAAAGCGTGTGGTAAAGACTAGGGTTTCTTATGTTATTTTTTTAGAGGACTAATGTACAGTAATTTCTGGTGTTATGCTTCCAAAACTTTCTGAAATCAGCTTAAGTAAAAGTAAAACCTGCATCCCTCTTCAGGGTCCATATGTCAAAGTACTTTAAAGATGTTAGTTAATAAGAAGCTATAAAGTGTTACATAACAAATGCTCATAAAGGATATAGCAGTCGACTTTTACAGTTGCTGCTGATTACTTCACTGTAATGTGAGGACATCACGATGGGATCCTCTTTGATGGCCATTATCATAATGTCAAACATCCCAGGGGCTGGGTTTTTAGTTCATTAGGAGAAATGAAGTACCAATTCTCGCAGCTGCTTTTTGCTGTAGCGAAAGAAAAGTGCCCTTCCCACAGATTCCTTGGTCCTCTCTTTCCCCCAAAGAGAAGTTTTAGCCTTGAAAAGATTTCCTCTTTTTGCTTAGGATTTGCATGGGCTGCCCAGGCCATTCAGTTTAAAGGCAATGGTAATAATCAGAAGCATTTTGTTGCTTCATTTCACTGAGATTTTTTCAGTCTTGTGAAATATGAAATTAGGATTCCAGGGTGAACCAAACATCTGGAATGGACCCTGTGATCTGAAATATCAGGAAAATCCCCAACCAAGCTAAGGTGAGTTGAGTCCGTGTTATTCAGGCCTAATTGACAAAAACATGCAGCTTTTAACTTTTGACTTCAAACAGATTTAAGTACATGTTTAAAGTTAACCTTTTTTGACATTAAAGTTAAGCTTTAACGTATTCACATTAAAGATCTTTTAAGTTAAGCTTTTTTGATTTGGGCCTGAGCTTGGATGTGAATTTGTGGCTGGAGCATCTCTAAGCTGTGGAGACAAAAAATAAAAAGTTAGTCCCATATTCAGGGAAAGTGGAAGACAGCAGGAGAGACAATAAGCCGGTAAGAAGTAATCAAGGAGGGTGTGTGTGTGCACGTGCATGTGTGTGTGTAAATCTGCTTTCTCTTTTTCTGTGTAAGAAATTTATATCAATTGCAGATGAATAAATCACACTCCAGTCACGAAAGCTTTCTTGGAAAGATACCTCTCCTCCCTTCTTTCCCTGTTTGCTTTCACGTTCAACTCACTACGCACAGTAGTTTCCTTTCCAAGCTGCACTGATCAGACCCTAGCCAGTGCAGTCTGATCCTTTGTGTGGCCCCAGTCAACATCTTTTTCAGTGTGAAAATGATCTAACACTTGTCTAACTCATACTTTCTGTATAACCACTAATGCCTCTTGTTCTGCAAAGGGTTTCTTATGCCTTCTAAATTTCTAAGTATCATTTGCTGCTATTATTTTTTGTGCTGCTCTTTCTGTTTTTCTCTTCATTTTCTGTCCATTTGCCTTCCATGTATTGCTTCTCCATACACTGCCACCTCTAACTTCAGAACAATTTTCATCCCTCTGAAGAATGGAATAAAGTTGTAACTATTTAGGCTCTAATCCAGTAGTATTTACTTAGGCACAGGTCCATTGATCTCAAGAGGGACAGTGACTAAATAAAGGTTTCAAGATCATACCTATAATCTTCTTCAACCAGTATTTCACGATTTCTCTTTTGTATGCTTATATGCAGAGCTCTGTCACTTTTAATTGAATCAGCAATGTTGATTCGGCAAGGAACCTGTTAGCTAGGTTTCTAGTGGGTGCTACCAAGAAAAAAAATACTTGCATTTTACTCTGAAATGTAAATTGAAATATGTCAGTCTCCTTTAGAACCTGTCCTTTACAGCAGAATTTCTCTTCCCTCTTCCATGGATTACACATACATCATATATCTCTTATTTTAATTTTCATGCAGTGTATATTGGGAGCAAGGGAAGTGGTATAAGAATAATTATGCCATAATACATATGTAATTTTATATAATATATAGTCAATTTGCAGACAGCAGAATATAATTTAGCACTTGTTAGTGATGGGGAGTTGTTGCTTTTCTCAATTCCTAGGACATACAAGCAGCCAGTCCCAGAGATCATCTGAGTACAAGCTAGATGTAATATTTACTTCATCTGTCTTCATTCCAAGATGATGTAATTTAATGAGAGGTTTTGGCAAAATTCACTATGGGTGCAACCACCTCCAGCAAGCCACCAGTCTTCGAGGACAGTGAAGAAGGTAAGAGAATGCTGTAATTGTTACCTCTTGGGAGAACAATATTCAGCAGGATTGCTAAGGCCTACAACAGTGGACACAGCAGCACACCCCAACTGTTACTTCACTGCTCTTGCTAAACACCAACATGGTTAATACGTGTGCATCCAAAAATGGGTATTGGGACACCATGTGAACTATGGTTTTGAGAAATGACAAGGTCATTGGGAGCCTGCAGGTGACCTCTTGTGACTGTCAGTTTTGAAGATGGAGAGTACCTGTTTGGAGTTTGGAAATCCAACCAAGGAGTGAGGTTTTTAAGGCTGGTGGGAGAACAGCTTGGGCATAGGGTGTTTCCCTGCCCATTTGGTGATGAAGGTTCTTGGAGATGCCAGCCAGCAACAATGGTATTAGATAAATTTGCCCTTCCAGGCTGCCATAGCAGCTATTGTTATGAAACCAGCACTCAGCACCGATAGCTCAGAACATGACAATGCAAATGCATTGCCATAGTATTAGCCTTAATACTTAGTGTCAGGGTCCTGCCAAGGGTACAGATGCAGAGTTAGAAAAATGCTCTTATTTCCTGTCATATGAGTTGATTTATTAACCGCCACTTGGGATGCCACATGAAAGCATATATTAAAATATATAAATAAATACATAAGATAGTCACTCGTCATTATAAACTACGATTGTCTGAGACATTTAAAATAATCAAATACTGAAAGATCTTGGCACATAAATGGGTAAATATTGTCTCCCTCTGTAAGGCCTCAGTTGTGTTCAGTGACATGAAATATAATTGATATTTATCAGTTGCAAAATGAAATCTTTACGGTAAATTTCCTTCAACCTTCATTATAACCTTCCACATCCTTCATGCATGATGGGAGGTAGCAAAACATTATATGTTAAAAAGGCAGACATGCAGGAGTTTTTGAAGCTGTACATGCACTGGAACCTCGAAAAATGTAGGACCCAACTTTCTGATCCATATGTAGAGAGGGCAGTAGTCATGGGACCAGTTATGGCTTCCTGATTTCCTTCTTCGATTTGATTATGTCTTTTATTGGACCAGGTATATAGTTTGTAGACAAGCTTTTAAACACAAAATGGCATTCTTCAAGTCTGGAAAGAAGATACAGCCTAAGCTAAATACCCTGGAGAATAACTGTTTTTATTTAACTCCAGTATGTAACACAAGGCCATTCAACTGCTGGGCTACAGGTAGCCTAAGAGAGGTTAATTTGTGTGTGGCCCCCACCAAGTTCCCACCCAGCTGCTCTCCATTTTTCTGTCTGCAGGCTCCCCCCTCCATCCTCTGGCTTCCAGTTTCTGCACCGAGAAGCAGGGAGGAGTGGCACAGCACAGTGCATTGCAGCCCATGGTGCCAGGGGAGCCTGCAGCCAGGGGGACCTGAGCGTCACGATGCTGTGTGGGGGTAACCAACACAACACATGGCCCAGGCAGCCCAAGGCTTGTCCTGGTGTGGCCCACGTGGTGTGGAGCCAGTGGCCCTTAGATGTTGGGCAGCCCTAATGTAAATAAAAAGGGGGATATCAACTTGAAAAACAGGGGAAGTGGGCAGTAAACCTGTAGAGCAAAGAGGAATGGCAGCAGAGCTGGTAAAGAGCAGCTGAACTAGATAGAAGTAATTAGACCATTCAAAAAGGAAGAGAGGCATTATTACCTGTGGAGTAAAGATAGGATAGTAGGCTTGGATCAGAGCACTGATCTGTTATTACACTGGTTAAGGACAGTACCTGCCTCTGGTACCTACTGGTACTCCATGTTGAATCCTATATTGCTAGAGGTTAGTGCAGTGTTTCTCAGCCAGGGTATAGAGAAACCCTGGGATGGCACTGCATCCTTTGAGGGGTACCAGGAGGTGTGAGGAGACAAACAAAGTGTGTGGAGATAAGCAGATAAGTATATAAATGAAGGCTCAGACTTGTCCCTGCCTGAACAATCCCCCACCCCTGTTGCTCAGCTCCTCTAAAAGGGGGAAAGCACTATACAGTAATATATAAATTAGTTTTTGAAATTGGGTGATACTCAATTCTTAGAAGGGATGGAGGGTGCCTTGAGTCCAATGAAGGGTGCCTCGAGGCAGAAAATGTTGAGAACCACTGGCTTAGGGGCTGCAGCAGATGAGTGGGAGTCAGGAGCGTTGAGATTTATTCCTGATTCTGCCAGTGCTTTTTGACCTTGAACAGCTTGCTTGGCTTGTCTGTGCTTGAGTTTCTCCTAGTTTATCTATCTGTAAAACAAGGATTATAATACTGCTTACCCACCTTGTCCTTATACCACTTCACACACATATAACACTCCAAGTGAATTTATTTTATTGTTATGACCAGGTTTGAGATCTACATCTGGATAAACTGGTGTTTTTCTCAGTGTTTTCACAGAAGCAGCTTAGCAGTGATCCACTCTTCCTAGTGATGTCTTTGCTGATGCTGCAGTTTGGTTCTTGGTCCAGTTTATTACAAGAGGACTGCTGGGGGGGAACCACATGTCAGTAACAAGCTGTGCTCACTTAGACACTTGGTCATCAACTACAGTAACAGCTCAGAAAGATGAAATGAGAGGTCAGTGCAGTGATCTGGATAGGGAACAGTCAGGCAGCCTATGAAGGAGCACATTGCATGCATCTCAGCTGATGAGACAACCTCAGTAGTTCCAGGGTGTCAAAAGATGGGAGAGTTATAGGGGATTGCACACATGGGTTTCAGGTAAAAAGAATTCCTATAGCACTCTTACCCCCAACCATCAGGAATGAAGTTGATGGGCTTTTTCATAAGCCCAGTTCACCTCTCCATGGTTAGTGGATGTGGAAATGCATGGTTAGTGGACTGACTCAAAGCAATGAGCAAAAGGCTGGCCCAGCCTTTCACTGTGCTGCTGTGGGGAAAAGAGAACGAAGGCAGCCGCTTACCCTTCTGGTGCCACCATGGAGCAGAAGGACAGAATTCCAGCCTGGTAGTCGGGACATCTCTCTCAGAGAGTCCGGGATTGAGCACCATGGTCGCAAGGGAGTATCTGGCTGGCCTCTGAGTATGCTTGTTGCAGTACACAGCGCACAGTGGTTGGTGAAACATGCTGCTCTTTTTTCAAAGGAAAAACAATTCTGTGTAGCAGGGTGTGTCCACCGCTATCTAGAGCCATTTTATCCCGATTCTGTAGCCCCAGTTCCATTCTCCCCTCCAAACCCTGTGCTCATGAGTGACTGGTGCCTCCTGAATCTGGGGGGGAGCTCCCACAGAAGCTGCTGAGAGCGGCAGCCTTGTCGGGAGGGCACCAGTCCTCCCGACAGCATCAGTGTCAGCCGTTGGGGGGAGCACCGACCCTGTCAGGGGGGCACATGCACCCCCATGCACCCTCTACCAGTCACCTATGCCTGTGCTGTACCTTAGACAGGATTTTGTACCTCTGAGCTTATTCGGAGAATTAATTTATGATGATATCCTCCCAACATAATGAGAACATGATGCACCATTTCCATGACTGTACATTGGGTTGCTAGACCTGTAATAAATGCTGAGTACGTGCATGGACGACAGTAACCTCCACTTTGGCTAAAGTGGCTCTTGGCCTTGCTCCCAAATTATTAGTGCAATTGTTCGTTATTTCACATTAAAGTAATTGGAGAAAATGATGGACAACAGCCTTCATGATGAGGTTTTCCTGGAGTTTGCAAATTTTAATCTTATATGTTCAAGCACTTGGTATCAGCATCTGCCATAAATAAGTAGCAGCACTGACTCAGCAATACAGATGACTGATTTTCCCCTTTTCTTCCTTGGAGTGATGTGGTCTGGGTGGGAGATTCTGCCTGTCACAAACAGAGGTCTCCTCCTGCTGGCTCTTTCTCACTTGGGTGGATTTCACTTTTCTTAACACCAAGGGTTGATTTTAATGACTAAAGAAATAAATACACCTATAAGAAATGTAGGTTTTCTTTTATGGTAAAGGGAATGAGGTCCTTTTCAATGGTCAAGCAGTAGTACCCCATGGCCAAAAAGTTCACTAGGTTTGCAGACACTTTCTTTTTTATCTGTTGACAAATTAAGAAAAAGAGACTTCCCCTCATTAATGATCACACCCCAAGGGATCAAATATATTGGAATTACTTATAATCACTGTGAAGGGGTGGGACACCAGAGGCAGCCCAGGGACTCCCTCCCTAGGGGATTATTCTCCAGACAAAGGGCTCCATCCTGAAAAGCATTAAGCATGTTCTAAAATCCCTCCCTTTTCAGGGAACTATTTTCATATGTTTGTAAGTGAACTGGAAGTTCTTGCATAGAGTTGCACACGTAGCGTATTCCTTGAATTTGTTGCTGTCTTAGATCACGCTATATTCAGGGGCTGGATGCAATGATTGTGCGAGGTCCCTCCCAGTCCTAATGTCCATGAAGTCTAATGTCTATATTACATACCATAGCAGTAGAAAAACACTAGTCCTCTAGCATTGAGGTGGATGATTTAAAAAGGTGGATTCTGATCATGGGACCTTTGTATCACTGTGGTCATGCTAAATACACTGACAAAAGTCATTCATCCACAGTTCTTGATGCACTTGACATGCCACATAATTATGCCTGTTATACAGTTAGGGGAACTGAGATGGATAGACTATAAGTGATCCGCCCAAATTCAGTGAGAGCTGATCTTGTATCCATTTGGAAACGTCCCATTCACTCCAACAGGACAGGATCAAGCCTATCATAATCTGTTGGCAGATGATGAACTCAAAGCCAGGTGTCTTTTTCACATTCCTAGCAGACTATTGTGTCCAGTATATCCCAGTGTCTCTCTAAAGCCGACTTAATATTCTTCTACCAAATATGGGAGCTAGAAGTGACTGAGAAATGAATAAATCATTATTTCTATGTTTGATTGTCCAAAACAGCTAAAACCCAGTGCTTTCCCCCCATGATTACAATAGGTATCTGTGGTGATATTTTGCAATGTGTTTTGTTCTTTTTTTATCATAAGTTTTTGGGCCACACTGTCTT